CTCAATAAAAAAAAAAAAAAAAATGACGTTTTATTCGAGCGACGAAAGAGTCGATATCGTAACGTTGCACACGAACGTTGCTCGTTTCGAGTTTTAAACATTTTATTGAGATATCGATTCTCGGCTATTGTTTAATTTAATGACTCGCCTAGGAGTCGCCTTTGTGAGTTTATGAGTGCAAAACCTCGCGTTTCGTTCACGCTCAGCCTGACATATACAGGCGTAACGATTTAATTGTCGTTCCCTTGACGGCTTGCAAAATCTCGCGGTGTACGGCGCGCGCAAGAAACGGAACGAGCAAAAAACACCGTCGACGGCCTGTGGGGGCCACACGCTCGACGCTACGATCGCGCGGAGCGCGGACTAATCGACTAATTCAAAAATCGCTCTATAAACACCCTATCTCTGGATAATGTCTACATCGGCACTTCACCTAATCTCGCGCGCGCAAGAGGCGCGCCGCACCGCGTCCGCGATAAAAAGAAACCGTGTATAATATGTAATGGGCCTATCTTCGTAATAACTCCGCAGTTACTTCGGTCACGGTAGATCTTACCGATAATTTCAAAGACACAACCGTATACTCACGATCCCGCGAGGAGGAGCGAGAGATTTTCGCCGCGGCCGTGCTCGCTAACGCTCTACTACCTCGGGCAAGAAAACACTAACATTTAGAATAATCCTTTCGTAACTTCATACTTTGATGCATAAGCTTCGCCATTACGCGTTACAGAAACGACGTAATTAACGTCCGCCAAGAATTTATTACTCTGATCTAATGGGGCGCGAGAGTGTATATGCACCGGAAAGAGATTAACGTCGTTGGCGATCTGATTCGTTGAAAGACACGTCCGACAAGGTGTGACAAAATAGAGAACGCAGAATAATTTGAAAGAAAAAGAAAGGAAATTGAGAGTAAGAAAAAGCAGAAGTATAAAAAAGTTATTACAGTGGACGTTGACGTAGCTGAAAATGTAACACAATCTTAGAAATATCTAAAGAATAATAATTTAATTAGAGATATTTTTAAATAGCATATTATATGACGTACGTAAACATTTTATTTGATTCATTAAATATCGCTATCGATATTTGTTTTTTCCTAAACGCGTTCGATTAAATAAATTCCTGCGCGAGCAATTAAAATACATCATCTTTTTAAATATACATTATATCTCTTCTTATCTAAAAAAAGTATATTATTTTTTATATTATTATCTAATAACTAACTTTCTCCGTTGTCTTCTCCGTTGCCGTGAAAGCGTGGATTTTAATTCGCGCGACCATCGCATTACGAAGCAACGCGTCGCCGACGCGGTATCGATCGTGGACCATTTTTATCCCGAAACATTTGTAGTAATTAAATTAATTCCGCCGGGACTCGTCTGGTCGGGGATTGCCCAACGAATGATTGATGAACGTTACACTTACTCTTATTACGGGCCGCTACTGTGAGAACATACGTAATACATAGGTACGAGCACGCCCGTCTACATTACTCTCATATATGTATTTAGACGTAAACCCGCGTATGCACATACATAATCCATATATACGTCTCTCGCGGTGCGCAGACTGGAATCATTAAGAACAGTTTACCCGGTCTTTCATTACTCATCGACGATTTAATGCGTCATTTGATTTCATCCGTCGGGAGGCTGCCGATCGCGTTTGTTTCATCCTTTTTCGCGCGCATCACCTCGGATGTATCTCGCCTGGATGGATCCGGCTTGTACTCTTCCGCGGCGACGATCCCAGGCGCTCGTTCCCTCTCGTTAAAATTTATTAGTTTATAATTATTTATTGCTTGACGGATATCGCGATTTACGGCGGATTATTGCTGCCGTGCGTATGTTAGATTTAATTAGAATCGCCGCGTCGTAAAGGCGACCATCAAGTCGCCGCCACTTCGTGGATTTCACAGGCCTGCGTGACGCGCATAATCGTCCTGACTTTTACTGCCCGTACCGAAAAATACCCGCTCGTCCCGCTCCGTCGTTGTCGACATCAACGCTCATCTCGCGGTTCATGAATAACAAGCGCACGTATCGCGGTTTCCAGAAATCGGAACTCGGAACGATAGACGGGCCGTGGTTTGCGTGCCGAGTGCCTTCGCCTGCCTTCGACAGAGCCGCGATTTCGGTGTGTGTCACAAGAAGCTGCCGGCGTGTCCCGTATTCGCTGACAGGCGAGTACTTTATTTCGCCATTTACAACGCGGTATATTTTATTAAGCACTTGCCACTCGGCGTTTCGAAATATTGAGATGTCTAGATAATGTCGCTGAAAACCACGCCCAGTACAGAAATGTTGGAGTGTTTTCACGTAAACAGTTTTGTAATCGATAATGAAATGTGCAATACAATAAATGTATACACATAAAAGAAAGAGAAAGATGATGTTATAAATTATTTTAAAAAATATATAAAAATTTGATATTTGTTGGACGATAACTTTTTAATACACACAAAAAAATTAAAAAAAATGGAATTAAAATTATATCAAATTAGAATTTTTTTTATTTCTTTGTCATTATGTTATCTTCTTCATGTAATATTTCACTGTTTTAAGTATTCTCTCTTTAACTCTTCGCGTCCAAACATAAATAAAAAACGATAGATTATGATATATCGAGAAAACGGGAACTGTGATTTATATTCCAGCTGTACGCTACGTTTTCGACGACGACGATGAATGATAAAGCCTTCCGTTCGTCAGCGCGTTTTCTCACTATTTGCACACTTTTATTGTGATTTGAATAGCTCTCGGTTAAAAGCACTGGTAAACTCCGTTATAAATTATTGCGGGGAGCGCGGCTGCGAGGAGAGCCGTTTTGTGCGCGCGCGCGCGCACGCGCGGATGTGTTACGTGTAATTTGTTAATCGCGCCGTGATGTTACAGTTACACTCACCGCCGGTGTAACCGCCGGCCGGTCGACGTTGCGCTATTAGCGTCGTATCGTGTTTCACGACACGAACCATTTGTTTGATCCTATGACAGGTATACGGCGCGGACAGAAGAGAGGCGAGCTTTTCATTGTCGATGTGTGCACGAGCATTCCCACGTTTCGTCAAGAGGTGTTGTCGGGGAAACAATCGCGCGCGAAAGCGATCGGTGATGTGTGTGTGTGTGTGTGTGTGTGTGTGTGTGTGTGTGTGTGTGTGTGTGTGTGTGTGTGTGTGTGTGTGTGTGTGTGTGTGTGTGTGTGTGTGTGTGTGTGTGTGTGTGTGTGTGTGTGTGTGTGTGTGTGTGTGTGTGTGTGTGTGTGTGTGTGTGTCGTGTGTGGTGCGCGCGCTGTAAATCTGATCTTCTGCACGATTGTTTCGGAAATCCGATATCGACGCGAACGCAGCGATCGATCACGGCCACTACAAAACGATCCTCTTTTGTATACAGTTAGGCATTGTGTTGCATCGTCATTGCATCTACGAAGTTTAACTGGTGTTTGTGACAAACATATGGGAATACATCGTATATTGTACAAAAATTGCATTGTTTTTCGTGACACGGATCAAATGTAACACTTCATGCTAACAGTTTTGTTTTTATTATAATAAATTGTTATTTTCTTCTCCTTTTTGGTATTTTAACTTTCTTTTTTTTGTGATTTCTTTTTTTTTTTCTTCTTTTTCACTTATATTTTAATAAGTATTTTAAGAGATTGATTCGTATACAATTGCTTTTCATTTTTTGGATCAATTTATTGTTATTATATAAATATAGTAAGTAAATTAATATATTTACATATGTTATATTTTTAGTAAGTATTGTAAATTAATATCGGCATTATTTTTTTCGATAATATGTATTGCACGTTTGTTCTGTTAATTTGATATTTGAAGTTTAAAGTATCGCTTCCGTCAATCGTCTCGCTTTCGATGCCGATGGCGCTCGTCCAATTCGATTGTAATCTATGAGAATTGGCTCCTTCGCGTGATTGACTATTAATTCCGCCAGTCATTAGACGATCGGAGGTGTGTTACAGGGAAATTAGACGGCGTAGGGTATACAAGCGTCCGACAGGCTCAGGCCGAGTCAAATCTCTCGTGGGAACTGGTCGTGATTAGTCCACGTCACTACCGACGCTAGTTATGCTAATTGCGCTTAAGCACTTTGGCCTGCTATCAGCATCGGCTATTGAAACTGCAGCCTGAGTAAGTCACGTACCAAGGCTTTAGACCCTTTGTCCGTCCGTTTCGCGGCTTTCGAAAAATTACCATCGGGGCATCGGTGTATTAACTCAACGAGGTATGACAATCGGCAATATTGCGTGGGTGAAATTACACCGGCGCAACGTCTAAGTCTCGTCAAATCGAGTCCCTCGCAGCTGAGCGCGGTAACATTCGCCAAATTACCACGTTGTGTAACAGCGTATTATACTAATATTCATTTACTCCAGCGCCACAATACCTCGAAATACATGTGAATTAACTTGAAACGGTTTAATGTGACGTCTCGAGATTGCTTCGCACCTTCTCTCGATATCTAGGGAAGGGACAGGAACACCTACGCGAACGAGTCCGCGTAGCAGAGATCTTTGAAGATCTCCGTTGACCCTAAGCTATCACGTCGAGATAAACACCTTTATATTAAACATAATAATTTTGCTGTAAGAAGATTAGGGAGGAGGACTCTTATGGTTTTACATTTGAAATTATCGCAGAATGCTTTTGCATTATCCAATACCTTTTACCAACAAAATATTTATATATTATTTTACTGTAATTTACAGAGCTTGTATTTTTTTTTACACCAAATATCGAGTTCAATTTGGATGAATAGTTAAAACGATATAATATGTTTTCAAGCGTAATTAAACGTTAGAGATATTTTTTTTTTGCTTTTTGAAACCAACAAGTTTCTTCTTCAACGAGACTTGCGATTTTATAGATAGCTGAAAAAAATCACTCGATAGATCTCAAGTACTGCGCCTAATGGGCAGAAACGCTTCTGCTAATGATAGTTGCCAGCCACTGACGAGCACGTTTTCTTCCGTTGCAGGCGGCGGGACCGCCGGTGCAGCTGGAACCAGTGGACCTGTCCGTGAAAACTCCGGTGGTGTTGCAGGTGCCACGGTACAGTCCGGCGGCGATAATTAACGCCAGCGTAAGAAGAGTACCGTCGCCCTCGACAACGCCCACGCCGCCACCGCCGCCGCTCTGCGTATCTACCGGTGAGTTAGCGAAATTTACGTGCGATCGCCCATATACACGACGGGAATTTAAATCGAATCGCGCGATGGTAATGTGATCGTGAGGTAGACAGACTCCGGAAGCACGGCACGAAAGAATGTCATTTGCACTTGTTTGCGAACTCGCATTTGCCTCAAATCTGCGTCGTGATCGCCGTTTCCGCGATACGCGTAGGATGCGTCAGAGATCGCGTGGGCGATAAATTTCTATCCTTCGACACGAACTTAGACTCGACTTCACGGCTATTGACTCTACGAAAATTCCGTAATGCTCGTAACGGGCTAAGAAAAATCCTCGATTTTTTAACCATTCGAGTAATTTCATATTTTTTTCCAGCTTAAGACTCGATTAACTAAACGTCGTGAGTTTTGTCGATTAATATTCGTTCGATTAATTACTAAATGCGAGGGTGTACTTACTCGGCGTTCGAAAGCGACACGTTTGAAATTCCACGGGCCATCCGCGAGACAGCGGAATTCTACATTATGAATTGCACGCAAAACGAAACTACCTATCAGGCTGTCGCTTCGGCCGACTGTGTATCTACGCGCATGCATGCTCGTCGATCTTAAGCCGTATTTGTACGATTCACTTTTAACGTGATTATTTAGCGTGAATCCAAAACAAGTAAATTTTTGTTTGATTTATTACTAAAAATTATGCAATAGGGTCTGCTGCAATTTCATGAACTCTGCAAATTTTCTTTCAACGCGTTCTTTTGTTCGAAATCTATTGTTCACGGGCGTAATTTATTTGCAATGCACTAAAGATATGCTTGACTTTTAAGGATGTGCAAATTAGATTTTTTTGTGCTTTTCATTCATTTTGAAAATCATTGAGGCTGAAAACGAGTCGTATAATTCCGCCTTTAGTCGCGTACAGGTGCGGCGCACCAGCACGCAGGTGCATGTTGCAGCACGCGCAGAAAACGCCGTGGCTCGCGGAGCGGTCCCGACGCTCGCTTATGGATAAACCATAGAGAGATCCTCCAGCGATTGCGCTGCTTTATGGGTTAATTATGTGGCTTTTTTTTCCGCATATCGCCATAGCGCGGACGAGCCCACCATTCGATCGCCCATTCTATGGAAAATCCACGCGCGCAATAGGCTGCTCGTACGCCATGTATCGGCGTGCATACGTTTAAGGAGTGACCTATGGATAGTTGAATCCCTCGTCCTCAGCATTCGTGAATACCGCGAATAAATTACGAATTTGTCTCGAGCATTCGAGCATCCACAATTGGCTCGCTGTGTTGTTTTCCTTCGACGACTTGGAGTAATAATGTTTAAACATTTTTGTGCGCCATTAAATTAACGATATTTAAATATATTTATAAAATTTATATTTATAAAATTTCTTTTGGATAAATTCTTATTTAAAATTTGGAATTGTTTTTGTATAGACTTTGTAATATATTTATTCGTATTATCGATTTTGTAAAATCGATTCGTACATGCTACATATCGATTACTTTCTATTTCTTGTAGGATACAGAAATCGCCGTGCGGAAGTATCGTACTTTCACCTGCTCGTAGGTATTAAAGTTCAGACACAAAAGTAATGCTCATGTGTTCATAAAGTTAACGATTTTATAAGAAGCTGAGATGCGAAACAAGAATTTAAAAATTGTAACGAGTGAAATCGAGTGCATATTGATACTGAATATCCAGTTAAACTCTCATGTTAAAAATTTAAAATTAAATTTTTTTTATTAAATAATTTCTCTTAATTTTAATTTTAGTGAGGTACTTGTAGAGAAAGAAACGTAACATGCGTACGAAATATCTTATATCCTATATGGGAAGTGGAAAAAAACCAGTCGCAAATTTTTGCGAGGAATTACCCTAATTCGCTCTTCATCATAATTACGAGATACGAAATAATAATCCAAAGTGCGTAGACAGATGTTCGATTCGCCTTGAGATTTCAAGGTCGATGGGTTCACCGGCGATTCCCCAATTAAAAAGCAACATGTAGCGAAATGTGTTCTCGTTGGCGGCTGAGCAAGCGGAGCTGCATTGCGAAAAAAAGGAAAGAAAAAAGGAGCGAAGTCCGCTGAAATAGTCTTAAAGCGCCTCGATGAAGAGGCGAACCGCGGGCAAAAAAAAGTCACTTTGACGATCACTCGTTTCAGCTCGCTCGAGCGCGTTTAATAGTTAATAAAAGTTTAAACCGCGAAATCGCTCGCGCAGGTAGCGTGCGCGCCACGCCTCTTTTTTATTGGGTATGTATAAAAAAAAAAAACAGAAAAAAACAAGAAAGAAAGAACAAGAAGGAAAGAAGCGATCGACGTGGCGAAAACGACGCGGCGAATGGGAAAGAAACGCGGCGCCGCGACTAAGCGTGTTCGTAACTCTCAACGTTCACTTCCATTTCTGGATTAATGATCAACGCACACCTGCACAAAGTGGAATCCGAATACGATTGGGGTCGCAACCCGTAGTCCTCGCCTGCGGGCCTGCGTCGCCGTGGTCGTGATCGCGCTGGCAACCGGCATGTAGCTCGAATAGGAATTTTTTTATAGCGCGTTTACGCATCTCTCTCGGCGTATCACTCGGCCCCTGATGTATTCCCCTCCCCCCCCCCCCTCCGTCCCTTCGATACTTCGCGAGCGAATCTCTCCTCGCGAAATCGCCTTCCCGGATTCCGTGATTTACGCCGTTGGAAAGCCGGTCGGTCATGGCGTTAATCCTTTCGCACCTAATGGGCGTTATGCGTTCCGCGGAGGAAAATAAACTGACAAACGTTTTATAAAGCGTTCACGCCGGCGTACGCTCGGCTTACGTAAATTCGATTGCGGGCTTATTAAAAAGTAACTGGCGTGAAAGCATTTGTATATGTGGGATATCCGAGGCTCGATAACTCTCTCGAACATTAATAACAGACGCGAGAAACGAGATTGTACGGAGTTCGGCACTCCTAAGCAATGTAACACGCAAATCTGCGAAATGACTTCTCGATCGTGACGTACTTTCTTTCAACCGTAGATTAACCCGACGAATAAGAATTAATGACACGTTTTGTGGTCGATCCAATATGCTTTATTACAAATTACACATATCGCAACGCCATAAAGGTGCTACAATTTCGCATATTTTTATATGAAAAAAAAAAAAAAAAAAAAAAACTGACTAGGAATGAAAAAAAT